AAATTAAGCACCAGGCAAAACTGCGAGTGGCTTCCAAAGGCGTTAATTAATTCAAATCTCGTCCCAAATTAGCATTTCCTTCTCTGCCTTGGTTTGGAACCTCCTGCATACCCAAGGAAGGTGTTTCCATTCCATTCTCACTCTCTCAATGGTCCCTTTTCTCCATCCTTCAATAATAAATAGAAAGTCTGATCTGTAATTGCATTTAAAATCATTCGATGTTTCTAAATTGCTTGAATAGCCCATTCATAGCTATTTTATACTATTTAACGCTCTTTTGTGCTATTTAATAGTATTTTGGGGGCCGATTATTGGAGTGTGCACACATATCCTGAGATTTAATTCCTTATTTAATGGAAATACAAAGAGTTTGGGAAGAGTTACTCTGGTGTAACAAAGGCGAAGTTGTTTTTGTTTTGTCCCTTCGTGGATTTGTTCTGTCTGGGGGCTTTTCTGGCTGTAAAAATTCCGGCTGTATTGTTGGTTTCTGGACAGACAGCTTGAAAAAGTGTTAAGTACTTGAGTCTAGGATTCGGCATTTAATGCCTTGTACTTGGAAAAATCTGTTTAGTGGCTTTACTGAAATAGGAATTGATCTGGGATTATTAAATGTGCCTCAATCCCACCTTTAAGCAGAGCAGTTCAAAGAGTCATGGGATTATTCTGTCAAGTTAACACATTATTTAACGTTTTTTTGGTTCCTCGTTGAAATAATTGCTTAATAAATATTATCAATACTATTAATATTATTTTTTAAATTACTAAAATTATTATTAATATAATTTTATTAATGTTTCTGTTGAAATATTTTAATACTATTTTAATAACAATACCAATACTATTTTAATAACAATACCATGTTAATCCTATTTCTGCTGAAATATTTTTAAAATCCTGGTTTTGGGAAGGTGTTTTCCCACATCCCTGCGTTTGTTCTGTTTATTGTACAAGATTGTTGCGTGTATTCTCACATCCCTGCACTCATTGTGTGTGTGAGATTAGAATTATTTCTGTATTATTCATTTATGGTTATTTGCAAAGTCATTGAAAATTCAAAGTGAAGGGAATAAATACAGAGATTATGGGATAGATGTATGTGTGTGTATATAAGCAAAATAATCTGCTTATATACTTACAAATTTACATATATACATTTATTACAAACGCTTTATTGTTTTTTTGGGGAAGAAAACCAGGATTTTGGCACTTTTAGAAGTGATAGAGACAAATTTACCCCCTGGAGCCAGAAATATTAAGAGGAAGAGCTTTCCTGGTGACGTTTTCCCTTCCAAGTTCCCTTTTCTGCAGGAAATGATGGGTTTGGGGCGTTCTGGATGGCGGTGGAATGATTCCCTGCCTGCTTTTGGGCCCGTTTGCCACCGGGGCAGTGTTGATTTGCTCCTGGACTTTGTCATCACTGATGTCAAAAAATGGAATTATCGATTGGTTTCAGACAAAAAGGGATTTTGGTGCTGGCAGGGGCTGCAGTTGGTCTTTGCTGAGGTTAAGCTCTGCAATTGCTCTGCTGGGCAATTAAAATGTGGTTTTTCCTGAAAAGGAAGTTTTTTACGAAGGCCTTGCGCTGCTATAGTCAAAACCTAGAAGGAAAGAGGTAGTTTTTCTTTTTCCTTTCTCTCCCAGAGCCTTGCTATGAGATATTCTGTGGTTGAAGTGGGACTGTCAGGGGGTTGACAATGTGTTTTCCACATGGAGAACCTGGGATTTCTTAGGTTAGTTACGTGTCTTGTATGTTGTAATATCCTCCTGTATGTTCCTCTCGAAAATCGCCTTGATTCGGGGTTTGGAAACGTTCAGAAGCAGCTTTAAATGCAGAACGATGAGCTGCAGGATCTCAAGCAGTAATCCTGTGCCCTGCCAGGGCACTTTCTGTATTTATTAAAAGATGAAGCTGGTTAGCAGGACAGCAGAAGAGTGGGAAGGGATTTTTGTGTTGCTTATTGGCTTTTCATCTCTGGTTTAGTCATTTTTTGGTTTGTTTCCTCACAAAAATCGGGTGGGCATTTCAGTTTGCTGTGGGTGGTTTTGTTCTTGCTGTTGATCTTTGCATTTGGTTCTGTTGCATCTGGGCGCTTTATTGCTGCTTTTGTGCCATTTTTATGATGATTTCCCAGCCCGCTTTAATTGTAGCTCTTTGTTTTTCACCCTGTCGTTTAAAATGCTGAATTAATTTCTCTTTTTCTGTATTGTGATGATCCAGACAGAGCAATTGATCCAGCATTGCATAACAATTAACTCTGCAGGGCCAGGTGTGGTTTGCAGGGCAGAGAAAGACTGGATTTTTGCTCTTTATCGAACCTGAGCGGTAAATGCGAGCTCTTAATGAAATAGCTTTTAATGGAGATGGACCAGTGGGCTGCCAGCAATGAGCTGCTTTACTGGGAAGGCTCATTTGATGTGATATTAGTGATTTTGTGCTGTGGATTTTGTGGAAACCCCACAATTGATCCCTGACTTGTCAGGAGCCTCCCGGGAGCCATGTGTAATCCTTAGCCATTCATTATCCTGCCCTGGCAATTCCGGTGGTTTTCAGGGCTAAGGAATGTCAGGAATCTGGGTTGGAATGGAAGGGTAGCCAGCTTGGAGCAGCCTGGCACACCTCCCACCATCCCAGGCTGCTCCAAGCCCTGTCCAGCCTGGCCTTGCACCCTTCCAGGGATGGTCAGGGCTGGAAAACCTCCCAGATGCTGCTGTTTGCCTGTTGGTTCCTTGTATCCATCCCAGGGATACCTGTGCTTATCCCAGTGGGGAGTGGGGCTGGCATCCACACTCACATTCAGGCTGACCTTTATTCTTCTTCATCATTCACATCTATTCCCTGGGAAGTGCTGTGAAACAGGTTTCCAGACCTGTGAAAAGTACAAATAGTGCTGGGTGCCTCAAGGTAGAAGACAGTGAAAAAACAACCAGGAAAACACACGTAATTTAAACTAGTTCTTCCACGAATCCTGCCTGTTTTGGTGTGTTCATGCTCCTCTAAATCAGAGCTCTAGTTTGTGCTGGGCTGAGTTCAGAGCATAAACCTCCACAAGATAATCCACAAGGAGAGTTTGGTTATTTATTTAACACGACCTTTTTACCGATGAGCAAACCTCAGCTCTGAAACCGTGGAAGTGCTCGGTGAGCTGGGAATGTTGCTACCACAAACAGAGGGTTGTTGTGGGGTTTAAATCTTGTGCCAACCCGAGTGGGTTTTATTGCCACAACTCGAGTTTCAATTCCCAGTCATTGAGACCATTTTGGCCTGGGGACGATTGAAATTCCGCTGTGTTTTTTGTGTCAATACGTTCGGAAGATGCAAAATGTTGCTGTAAAGATAGTGCTGCACCTATTTCCTGCTGGAGAGGGGCCAGGATCCAGTTCAGCCGTGGATTATACAAGGTTGATTTCACCTAAGGCAGGATATTCCGTATTCCAGCCTGAGCGTCTGTGTAACAGGGACGTAATAACATCAGGAATAGAAAAACAACTTCAGCCTTGGGGCTTAAAGCATTTCTTATTTCAAAATTACTCTGAAAAGAGGGATTTGGGCAAAAATCCTTGTGTGTGCGCAGGGATGTGCTGTTTGGCCTCTGCCTTTTACTCCCCTCCCTCTTGGTTTGAAGAACAATATTTTGGATTTTGGGAGATTGCAGCCCCCTGCTGTGTAAATAAACAGCTGGATTTTGGGAGATTGCAGCCCCCTGCTGTGTAAATAAACAGCACCATTGCCTCATACCTAGGGGATCATGTCTGTCTGTCCATCTGCTGCATCCTGGGACCTCCACAAACAGGAGGGAAAAGGGCAGGGAACATGAGGGGAAAAGGGCAGGGAACATGAGGGGAAAGGGGTGGAAAACATGAGGGAAAAGGGCAGGGAACATGAGGGGAAAAGGGCAAGGAACATGAGGGAAAAGGGCAGGGAACATGAGGGGAAAAGATGGCAAAAAAGTGAGGGGAAAAGGGCAGGAAACATGAGGGGACAAAATGGCAGAGACAGGAGAGGACAAGGTGGTAGAAACACGAGGAGAAAAGATGGCGAGAACATGAGCGAAGGGAAGTTTGCTGATGCGATGATGATGATGATGATGATGAAGGGAAGTTTGCCGGGATGTTGCTGATGTTGCTGTGCTGTTGGAATCGCAGGCGCTCCGTGGCCATGGCCGGGAACAGCCTGGTGCTGCCCATCGTGCTGTGGGGCCGGCGCGCCCCCACGCACTGCGTCTCCTCCCTGCTGCTCGTGGATGGCTCCGTCATCGTCACCGGCTGCCACGACGGGCAGATCTGCCTCTGGGACCTGGCTCCTGACCTGCAGGTAGCCACATTCACACTGCCAGCCTCTCCTGCCTCTCCCAGTGCTGCTCTGCCCTTCCCTCAGCGCCAGG